AGGATGGAACATGTACCAAATGGATGTTCATAATGTATTTCTCCAAGGAGACCTATATGAAGAGGTGTATATGGAACTGCCTCAGGGTTTCAAAAGACTGGGGGAGACAAAAATTTGCAAGTTAATGACATCCTTGTATGGCTTAAAGCAAGCCTCAAGACAATGGAACATCAAACTTACTGAAACTCTTCTGGATGCTGGCTATAGTCAGAGTCTCTATGATTACTCATTATTCACTAAGAAAAAAATAAACATAATTTGTAGCTGTGTTGGTATATGTTGATGACTTACTCATCACCGAAAATAATGAGGAATTTATTGAGGAGACAACGAATGTTTTAAATAGGAAGTTCAAAGTGAAGAATCTTGGAGAATTGAGGTATTTCCTAGGAATAGAAGTCATGAGATCCAACCAAGGGATCTTGTTGAACCATAGGAAGTATGCACTCCAACTGGTGTCTGATCTAGGTCTGAGAGCAACAAAGCTAGCAACTACTCCACTTGATATGAATCAAAACTCAGTTGAATTTTTTAGACATGTTGGAGTAGTTGGAGATGAGATGTTGGCAGACATTTCAGCGTATTAGAGGTTAATTGGTAGGTTGAGATACCTAACAATCACTAGGCCAGATATTATATTTGCTATGCAGACATTGAGTCAATTCATGCAATCACCTAAGTAATCCCATTGGGAAGCAGCAATAAGGGTAGTGAAATACATCAAACAGAATTCAAGAATGGGAATCTGATGAGTAGCGGGCATGCAAACAGTCTGGTTTGTTACTGTAATGCAGATTGGGCATCATGCCCTAACACTAGAAGATCAGTGACTGGGTTTGTGGTTAAATTTGGAGACCCATTTGTGTCTTGGAAGTCAAAGAAGCAACACACAGTTGCTAGAAGCTCAGAATATAGAAGCTTAGCAGTAGTTATTGCAGAAATTGTTTGGTTACTGGGATTTTTTGCATAGCTCAATGTATATGTCAAGCAACCAGTGGATATAATGTGTGATAGCAAAGCTGCTTTACAAATTGCAGGTAATCCCATATTTCATGAAAGGACCAAGCATATTTAAATATATTATCATTTTATTAGTGATAAGATCAAGGAAGGAAGGATCAAGACACGCCATATTGGAACTAAGGATCAACATGCAACTATTGACTAAAGGGCTGGGAAGAATACAACATAAATATCTATTAGGCAAGCTAGGAGTGCTCAACATCTTACACCCTCCAGCTTGAGGGGAAGTGTGAGAATGAAGGAGTCGACTGTGCAACGCTAAGTAATGAGCCGGCCGTCAAGTTAGTTAGGATAGCTGGCAGAGTTAGTTGATATTGTTAGAGGTAGTTACCAATAGTTAGTGATCTTAGCTTAATTAAGTAGAGGTTAGTTGTATCTATAAATATAGAGTTTGTATATGTTATTGTTTACACAATTGAATATACAGAAACGTTTCCTTCTTCATTTCTCTCTCCTCCTTCTTTTTCCTTGCACAGTACTGTTACATTGCTCCATTAATAAAGGCCATGACCTAGCTCAATTGAAGCTCAACTTACACTTATCATTGTTCATAAAAATTAATAACGGTATATGCTTATATCTGACTATTTCTTGAAGACATTTGCAAGTTTTCGAATGTCGATGACCTCTCTACCTATAGTGTGTATCCGCCTCTGAGTGAATCTTAGAGACGGTTGCAATATGAGTTTTATAGGTTCAACTATATCTAGTATTTTTGACACATAACTTTTATATACGTGTGTTAATATGAAAATTCATTAAAATTTTTAGATCTATAATTCCAAATATGCAATAATAATAACATACAGATTGAATCCATCAAGCTATATATATATATATATA